ACACGTCTCTCTATCTGTTAACATTGTGCAAGGAAAATGAAATTTGTTCTTCGTAATATACTTTATTTTTTTTTGGGGGGGGGTGGGAATGAGTGTATGCGTGTCAGTGATCCAACCAAAAGCCTTGCACATGTTTGACAAAAGCTCTGCAATCAAGCTCCAGCCCCATACTGTTTTTGCTCACATTTCTAATAATGCGTTTTGTTTATTTATTTATTTTTGTTTTGTTGAAACAAGGTCTCACTGTGTAGCTTTTGCTAGCCTGAAGAGCAATATGTAGAGCAGGCTGGCCTCAAACTCACAGATGATCCGGTTTTGTCTGCCTTCCAAGCGCTGGAATCAGACAGTCAGTGTTTCTGACTGATTTTCAAAGTGTTGGGTTTTGTTTTTGTTGTTTTTAATGGCTCAGTAGTCTCTGAATATGAAGCCAGAGCGACATCTAGTGGCACTTCTGGTTCAATAATTATTAAAGTCAGCTCCGACAAGATAGGTTGGAAAAATTATTTAGTCTTAGAATGCCTCTGAGAAATCTAAAACAAACAAACAAAAAAAATCCATCTATTTTAAAGTTTGTCCATTTCTCTAGGAATTATTTCATAAGCAAAAAGAGTCATCTCTTCATGGGTCTTCTGAAGATGGTAACTTTTGGAGCCGACATCTCCTAACCTCAAAGGCTTATACACTGTCCCTAAAAGCAGTCACTTGGAAGAGACTTGAAGGCACAGACACTAGTTTAAATGACTAGGATCTTCATGCTAGAGCTTTCCCTGAAGTACAAGAACTTTATAGAATGTTAAGCTGGGTACTTCCTCATAACTGGGATTCAGTGAGAATGAAGAAGGGGAACGACGAGATGAAATGTACAGCATCTGCTTCATGACCTGCAGTACAGCTTGTCACAAAATGATCACAGCACAGTCAGTCCAGAGTTTTTGGAAATGATCGACAGTGATTATAATTCAGACAATTGCATAGGTGTATGTACACCTGCCGCAACCCATGGATGGTGTACCGCAAGTGAATGCAGTTTGTTCAAAGGAAATTTTGCCTCGATAATGTTAGCTTAAAAAAAATAAAAGCCAACTAAGCCTTGTGGTGCACATCTGTCATTCTAGGACTCGGCCAGAACAGGCAGGAATATTCCAATTCAAGGCCAGCGGGGCTACACATGGCATTCCAGGCCCGTCTGGGCTAGGTAGGGATACTCTTGTCTCGTAAAACAAACAACAAAACCCAGACAGGCTGTGGTGGTTTGGTGGTGCCCACAGACTCATGTGTTTGAACGCTTGGCCATAGAGAATGGCACTAGTAGGAGGCGGAGTCTTGTTGGAGTAGGCCTTAGTGGAGGAAGTATGTCATCATGGGGGTGTACTTTGAGGTGTCCTATGCCCAAGCTATGAAACGTGTGGCACATAGTGTCCTTCTGCTGCTCTTGGATCAAGGGGTAGAACTCTCAGCTCCTTCTCTGGCACCGTGTCTGCCTGGATGCCACCACACTTCCCACCATGATGATAATGGACTAAACCTCTGAAACTGTAAGCCTCAATTAAATGTTTTCCTTTATAAGGGTTGCCTTGGTCGTGGTGTCCCTTCACAGTAGTGAAACCCTAAGACAGAAGTAAACAAGCACATGTACTTACTATTCAAGGATTTCAAAGATTCCAGGAACCAATGAGTGAAAAACTAAAATGTGACACACACAATAAAATGTTAATTAGCCTTAAAAAAAACAGAATAAAATTCTCTGGGCATGGTGATACCCACCTATAATCCTAGCATTTAGGAGGTGGAGGCAGGAGGATCGGGAATTCGTACTCACCCTTGACTATGTAGTGAGCCTGAGGTCAGCCTAGGCTACCCAAGACTGTATATATAAAAACCAAACAAAAGGAATGAAACATGTGTGTAGAAATTAATCTTTAAAAAAACATTAAGTAAGCCAGACATAGAAAAGCAAACACTGGGGGCTGGAGAGATGGCTCCCTGGTTAAGAGTACTTACTGCTTTTCCAGAGAACCCTGGTTCAGCTCCCAGCACTCATATTTGTGGCTCACAACCACTTACTTGTAACTCCAGTTTCAGGGGATTCAATGCCATTTCCTGGCCCCCAGGGGCACTAGGTACCCATGCAGTACCCATACACAGATGCAGAAAAAAACACTCACACAAAGAAAATAAACAAACCTTAAAAAAAAGTTATGCATTTATGCTTATGCGCAGTGCAAAGCCAACAGTAGACAAAGTCATGACACAGAGAATAGGATGATGGGGTTGGAGGAAGAGGCATGCAAAATTGGTGTTCTGAAAAGCGTTGAGTTTCAGCTGGGGGAGGACAAAGCTTCGGCAATGGACGGTGATGACGTTTGCATACAGCTATGTGCTTGAAAATAAAAGCACAAAATAGGAATAAGTTAATCCCACGTACACTTAAAAACACCTAAAGTGGGGCCATGAGACAGGTGAGACCGCTCAGCGGGTAAATACACTTGTAGCCAAATCTGACTGACTGGTTTCATTATCTGGGACACACATGGTGACAGGCAGGAACCAACTCTGACCTCCACAC